TGACTTCCTCCTTGCCAGTTTGGATGCCATTTATTCCTTTGTGTTGTCTGATTGCTGAGGCTAGGACTTCTAACGCTATGTTGAATAACAGTGGCAAGAGTGGTCACCCTTGTCGTGTTCCTGACCTTAGGGGGAAAGCCCTCAGTTGTTCCCCATTGAGGAAATTGGTGGTAGGTCTTTTTTACATGGCTTTTATGATTTTGAGGTATGAACCTTCTATCCCTACTTTTCTGAGAGTTTTTATCAAGAAAGGATGCTGTATTTTGTCAAATGCCTTTTCTGAATCTATTGAGAGGATCATGTGGCTGTTGTCCTTTCTTTCATTATTTTTTTTATTAATCAGTGTGTGTTATATTGATTGATTTGCAGATATTGAACCAGCCCTGCATCCCAGGTATAAGTCCCACTTGACTGTGGTGAATAATTCTCTTAATGTATTGTTGGATCTCGTTGGCTAGTATCTTGTTGAGAATTTTTGCATCCATGCTTATCAGGGAAATTGGTCTCTAGTTCTCCTTTCTAGTGCGGTCTTTGTCTGGTTTTGGAATCAGGTAATGCTGGCCTCATAGAATGAGTTTGGAAGTTTTCCTTCCATTTCTGTTTTTTGAAACAGCTTCAAAAGAATGCGTATTAACTCTTCTTTAAATGTTTGGAAACAGCAGGTTTCATCTGGCTTTCTTCCTGTTTCAGTTTTGGTAGTTTATATGTTTCCAGGAATTTGTCCATTTCTTCCAGATTGCCCAATTTATTGGCATATTAATGCTCATAATATTCCTTTATTCTTGTTTGTATTTCTGCAGTGTTGGTTGTGATCTCTCCTCTTTAATTCTTATTTATTTGGGTCCTCTTCTTTTTCTTTTTGATCAAACTGACTAGGGGTTTATCAACTTTGTTAATTCTTTCAAAGAACCAGCTCCTGGTTTCATTGATCTGTTTTACTGTTTTTGTTTTTGTTTTTGTTTTTCTTTTTGTTTTCCAGTAGCATTGATTTCTGCTCTAATCTTTATTGTTTCCCGTCTTCTGCTGGTTTGAGATTTTATTTGCTGTTCTTTTTCCAGCTCTTTAAGGTGTAACTTTAAGTTGTGTATCTGAGATCTTTCTTTCTTCCTTAGGAAGGCCTGGATTGCTTTATATTTCCCCCTTATGGCTGCCTTTGCTGCATCCCAGAGGTTTTTGGCTATGGTGTTATCATATTTTTCTTTCATTTTTTATCAATATGTGAGAAAATATTTAACCTGGGCTACATTTGTTGATGTTGGACTTGATTTATCACTTCATTGAATGTGATGCATCTGTCCTAAATGAACTTCTGCTTTGGGCTCTTGGAAAGGAGGTCTGTCCAAGGTATCCTCCATGGGGACCAGAATTCATTCAGCAAGGTCACGGTTACTAATATAACCCAAATAGGCGGCATGTTAGCTAAACAGCAGAAAAAAACTTTCAGGCCATATGTAGAGACTAACTCAATCTAGATAAATCTAGATGAGCAAACGTGGACTGTAGTTCTATATCAAGGCTATTTCTACGTGGCATTTTGCTTTTCCTATAAAATTACTAAAAAGAAATCACTAAACTGGTATGATGACAGTTTTACTATTTGGGGACTTCACTATTTTAACTTTAAAACAAACATAAAAGACCTATAGCAAAATGGTCTTATGCTAAATGGTTTCTTTGAGCTAGCACTATGGACCTTAAGAGTAAATGCGAGGCTCTACAATTATATAATTCCTTAAAATTATTCCAGCCCCAGAATTTTCCCCTCCTATTTTATCTTTTTCTTTCAGCAAAAGGCTGTCATTCCTTTTTCAGTCCCCATCTTCCTGATTGTGACTTAAATTGTACATTATACAGGTTTTCTAAAGGGTGAGCTGCCACACATTCTAAAGTTATACAGATGTGAGGAAGCAAAGCATCTTATTTTTGTGATATTCACGTGTGGTTAAAAAAAAAAAAAAAGATCGGCTTTCCCCTCTCTCTGTGAAAAAGAATCTAATAGCATGGCCTTTTTCCCCCTCAATCAGAGGTTATTTTCTGGGCCACCAATCCAACTCTGAATAGTTGATATTCTTCAAAACTCTTAGTGAATAGAATCATTACTGATTGTTATTTTACATCTGTAGTTTCATTATCTGGTTTCCTCCACCTCCAACCAAAGCTTTTTCTCCTCTGGTCTAGAATGTAGAGAATGGGATGTCATCTGGACTAATATAATCTGAGTTCTCATTGTTCCATAATGCATTCAGCAGGCTAAATTAGTCCTTTCAGAACTATTCGACAGATAGTAGGGGTACATTAAACTCTTTTTGAGTTATTAAATATTCAATTTGCAAAGCAAGTTGTATTTTAGCAACCTTATGAATAGAGTCCTTTTAATGGAATCATTTTAAAATAAACTTCTTATTTGAGAATAATTTGCAAAGATAGTACAGAGAGTTTCCATATACCTTTTACCCATTCCCCCTAAGGTTTGCATGGTATGTTTGTCACAATTAAGAAACTGACATTGGCACATTTCTATTAATGAAACTGTAGACATTTTTTTTTCGCCAGTTTTCACACTAATGTTCTTTTTCTCTGCCAGGAACGTCTTCACAATGCCACATTACATTTTGTTGTCATGTATCCTTGGTCTCCCCTGATCTATGACAGTTTTTCTGACTCTCTTCATTTTTCGTGACCTTGACAGTTTTGAAGGGTACCGGCTGGGTGTTTTGTCGAATGCCCCTCAGTGGGAGTTTGTCTGATGCACAGAGGTGAGGCACCATTTTCATTGTATCATTTCAGGAGATAGAAGGTAACCCCATGAAGTACTGCTAACCTTAATCCCTTGATTATGATAATGTAATTATTTTTAATGGAAAAAAAAGAAAACTACCAACACAAACTCCAGAGAGAGGAAAGTTACATATTTGCAAGCATGAACTTCACACATACAAAGTATTAAATGTTAATGACAATGATTGCATAAAACATTCAGATAATGACTGTGCACTCATTTCAGTGATATTTCCTTGTCTCCTTTAAATGAATTACTTAAAAAATTTTTAATGTTTATTTATTTTTGAGAGAGAAAGAGAGAGAGTGAGTGGGGGAGGGACAGAGAGAGAGGGAGACACAATCCGAAGCAGGCCCGAGGCTCTGAGCTGTCAGCATGGAGCTCCACACAAGGCTCAAACTCATGAGCCACGAGATCATGACCTGAGCTGAAGGTGGACGCTCAAACGACTGAGCCACCCAGGTGCCCCTCTTTTAAATGAATTATTAAATGTTATTACTTACCTTAAATGTCTGTGCAGAGACTACATGAGAATGTGTATTAAGATTATTTCTGCAGTTCCTTTTCTGTATTATGGTAGAAAACTTCATACAAATAAAAATGTCAAATCATCTTCACAATAATGTTGAAGAAACAAATTAAGAACCCCCAGACTATAGTAAATCACTTCAGTTGTAATAATTCGGTAGATATGTATAAGTATTTTCTACTTTTCCAATGACAAAATTTTAAAATATTTTTGCCATCATACCATAGCCTATATGGCATGCAACCCAAAATGGCACCTTTGATGGGTTTTTGTTTGTTTTTTTGTAATGTTTATTTATTTATTTTGAGAGAGAAAGTATGAGCAGAGGAAGGGCAGAGAGAGAGGTGGGGAGAGATAATCTCAAGCAGGGTCTGAGCCTGATGCAGAGCTCAAACCCATGAACTATGAGATCATGACCTGAGTCAAAATCAAGAGTCAGGTGCTCAACCAACTGAGCCACCAGACACCCTGAAATAGCACGTGTGTTTAGCGTGGAATACTGAAAATTTGGCCCAGCATTTTCATTTAATTTTCTGTTTCAGCTCATTTAGATTTGTCATCTTACTGAATAATACATCCTCAAACTTTTAAACATTTTGTCTCAAGCACTTCATTTTCCCCCATGGCCAATATCCTCAATTTTGTAGGTTATCAAGTAGGATAGTCAAGCGTTTCCCCCAAGTTTTAATTTTTTTAGCTTGAAATAATTTCAGAAATGCAGAAATTTGCAAGAATAGCACAAAGATCTCCTTATTCAGAAACTGTTCAGTTTTCCCTTCAGCCAAGTTACCCAATTGTGAGCATTTTACTGTATTTGCTTCCTTAGTCTCTGTGTGTATGTGTCATATTTTTCTATGCTATTTGAGAATCGATTACAGACATGATTCCCCCTTATCCTTCAACACTTTATTCAGTATATATTTCCTAAGAACAAGGGCATTTTCTTAAACTACCACAGTATAACTCATAAAACCAGGAAAATAAATTAATAAATATTATTATCTAATCAGCACACCTTATTCAAACTCTGCCCATTATCCCCGTAATGTCCTTTACAGCAAAAATAAGATAAAATAGAAGAAAAGAATATGGTCCGGGGCGCAATCTGGGATCACATATTGGCAAATAGCTTCGGCTTTTCTTTCATCTGAAGTAGTTCCTCACTCTGTGCGTTCTATGACCTTGATAGTGCAGACAAGTACAAACTAGCTATTCTGCAGAATGTCTCTCAATCGGGCATGTCTAATGTTTCCTCAGATTAGATGTCAATGTGTTCCATTGTGGGTGATGTTAACACTGGTCACTTGGTTAAGGTGGCATCTACCTAGTTTCTCTCTATAAAGCTGCTATTTCCTCCTTTGTAATCAATAAGTATCTTATGGGAGGATATTGTGAAATTATGTACATAACCTATTCATCACCAAACTCTCACCTGGTAATTATTAGTATCCATTGATGATTCTTGCTTGAATTAATCACTCATTGCTTTGCTGAAATGGTGATTTTTTTCTACTTCCATCATTTCTTCTACATTTTACTTGTTGGTATTTTGCTACAGTGAAGAGATTTTCCTTCTTATTTATTTACTTACTTACTTACTTGTAACAGTGGAGACTTGTAGAGTCATATTTTATTCACTGGGTCATAATTTGTTGTTAATACTATTTATTTCAACGTTAGAATTGTGCCAGAATTGGCCAGTGGCAATCCCTCAAGCTGTTTGGTGTGTCCTTTTCACGTGGCTTCATCATTCTTTGAACAAACACTTCTTTCTGATGCAAGATATTTCAGGCGCATCTTTTATTTTCTTCTCTGACCCTGGAATTGGCCATTTCTTCAAGGAGTCTTTGTTCTTCTGAGAGTAACATCTAAAAATATTTGGCCACAAGGTATGCTCACTGTTACTGGGTGTCTTTTCTTCTTGGCTATTTCAGCAGACAGAGCTAAGTGGTGTGTGTGTGTATGTGTGTGTGTGTGTGTGCGCGTGCTGTAGGTTGAGTTCTCTGAGAATCAAACCCTGATACAGACATTAGTGAGCAGAAAGGTTAACAGGGAACACTAAAGGGAAGAACTCCTCTGTACTGCAAGGGAAGCAGGATTGTGCAAAAGGAGAAGATGGGCTCCAATGTGGTACCTGCAAGGCCTCAGCTGACCCCAGGGGGGCGCTGATGCTGGATGGTCTTTTAGAGTTGTCCAGGGTTGGGGTGAGAGGTTCAGGCCTTTATAACCTTCCATCCATCATTCACTGGACACAGGCTGCCAAGAGAAGGGGTCATGAAGTCAGGCAATTCTGAAGAGGGCTGACAGCTGAGAGCTGTTAGTCAACAACATTCCCTTGCAATTCTGGCAATAAATCCCAGGCCTAAAAGGAATCCGGGCAGCAAGGAGCATTCATCCCAAATCCACATACATGCTTATCTCTGTCGATAGATCTGTCTGCCATCCATCCATCTTAAAGTGTATAGTGATAATTCCAATTTCAATCCAACATCACAAGTTTCAGTCTATAATTTCCCCCTCTTTTTCTTTCCCATTTCTGATAATGGGAAGCCTAGCACCCACTGTCAACGTAGGCTCAGTCCTAGAATTCACTGGAAGTATGGCTGAGCCATTATGAAACTGCCTCAAGTTAACAAACGCTTGACTGTTCTATCCCAAGGAAACTCCGATTAACCTGATTGATTTATGAGGCTGTTTTGCCTACTTGATCCATCAGCTCAAGACTAGCTACGACTGGAGCAAATAGGGACGAATTCTTTCGGTTGAGCAGAGGAACCAGTAGTGATCGAAAGTACCTCTGTGACAATACACCCGAGACCAACTCTCCTGGTCATGCTTACACTGCCATTTAACGAACCTGTATCCCATGAAGAGCCATGATTCCTGAATGCGCATGCTCAGAAAGGAGGTCCCGCCCTTTTCTCTCTATCCAATCAGCATATTCCATTCTACCTGCGTACCCAGTGACGTCATCACCCTTATCCTTAAATACACCCGGCCCCAACCCTTAGAGGACTTGGATTTGAGAAAGTGTCTCTCCTCTTGTTGCTTGGCGCCTTGCAATGTATCCTTTTCTCTGCAAAATGCCGGTGTTACCATGTGTGGTTCCCTCCTCTGCTCAGTTATAATTCCACTGCAAAAGCAAACCTACCAAGTAGAGTTCAAAAACTTTTTTAAAATATTTTTTAAGATTATTTATTTCTTTTGGGAGAGACTGAGAGAGACCAAGAAGGGGAGGGGCAGAGAGAAAGGGAGAGAGAGAATCCCAAGTGGGCTCCACACTGTCAGTACAGAGCCCCATGCAGGCCTTGAATTCAGGAACGGTGAGGTCATGACCTGAGCCCAAACAAAGAGTCCAGTGTTTTAACCAATAGAGCCACCCAGGCGCCCATAGAGTTTAATGTTTGTTTGGAGCTTTTTCTATCTATAAATGGAGGGTGTATAATTGAAACACTGTGTTCAAAAGTTACTTTAGTCACCCCCACCAGGGTGGTTTGCTATTCATTTGGAATGAAGGTATGTTCTTTTGTTCTTTCCTTAGGGATTTCCCTATTATTCATTTTCCTGTTTATCTTTCCTGTGTTATTTTTTTTAATATTTTTATTTATTTCTAGGAGAGAGAGAGAGACAGCATGAGCAGGGGAGGGTCAGAGAGAGAGGGAGACATAGACTCTGAAACAGGCTCCAGGCTCTGAGCTGGCAGTCAGCACAGAGCCCGACGCGGGGCTCGAACCCACGAACCGCGAGATCATGACCTAAGCGAAAGTCGGACGCTTAACCGACTAAGCCACCCAGGCGCCCCATTTCCTGTGTTATTTTTGCAAATTAAACAGGTTCTTGTATTTATCTTTATTTTTCTTGTTTCCTACATAAAAAGTAACATACTGTAGAACATTGTTTTACACTTTACTTTTTTTGCTAAAAAATAGATTCTGCATATCACCCTTTATCAGCTTATAAAGGTCTTCTCCATTCTTTTTTGCATAACATAATTCTCTTTTGCATAGATATACCGAAGTTAATTTTATCACCTTCCTATCTGGGCATGTAGGATGTCTTCAACATTTTGCAAATAGAAACAACATTGCATAAGTGCACTCCTAATGTGGAAGCCTTCTGAGGTTTTTAAATAAATATCTTCTGGGGCACCCGGGTGGCTCAGTTGGTTAAGCATCTGACATTGGCTCAGGTCATGATCTCACGATTCCGTTCGTCTCACGGTTCCGTTCGTGGGTTTGAGACCCCGCATCAGGCTCTGGGCTGACAGCTCAGAGCCTGGAGCCTGCTTTGCATTCTGTGTCTCCCCCTCTCTCTGCCCCTCCACTGCTTGCACTCTGTCTTTCTCAAAAGTAAATAAACATTAAAAATTTTTAAAAAAATAAGTATCTCTTCTCTTTTCTCCCCTCCATTCTCTTTATCATATTATTAGGTTAGCATTCCTTGAGCCTAGGCTGCGCGGTGGTGTCAAACAGCAGTGCACAGTCCTCGGATTATTGTTCCCAATAGACAATTCTCTGGGGAAAATTGGGCTTTCATAGTCTCCTCAGCCCACCAACCATATACCGATAAACTACAGCATATCAACGACAGCAGTATTTGTTTTTATTATGCTGTATTTGTCATATTATATCACTATTACTTAAATAATGTTTACATATTTATTATTAAAATGTGTTTATGCTGTCACCAAGGGTGAGTAATTTTAGTTTTGCTGATGGCGAGTGTGACCCCGAGTAAGTCACTTAACTTCTCTGTGCCTCAGCTTCCTCATCCACAAAATGGAAATAATAATTGTGCGTCTCCACTAGGCTATCTCAACCTTAACGCATCCAAGAGCAAAATTCCTGATTCTCATGTATTCCCACTCCCTCACCGTACCCGCTTCTTCCTCAGTTTCCCCAGCTCAGTGAATGGCAACTTCATCAAGTGCTCACAGAAAAGCCGTGGAATCATCAGACTCTTTTTCTCACACCCGCATCTAATCCATCTGCAACTCCTGGACTGTAACTGCCTTTCTCATCTTTCTTGTTTCTGCTTTTGCTGCCCTACACCATATCCTCCATAAATAGCCTTGACCGTGCTTTTATAACCAAATCTTTTAGAGTTATTCTTCTGCCCGTAACCCTTTAGTGGCTCCCCGTCTCCCTCAGAAAAAAAGTCAGAGATCTGGCATTCCCTGGTGTTCTCTGACCCCATCTCCCACCCATCTTGCTCCACACTCACTGCCTTGCAGCCGAGCCAGTGTCCTTGCTCTTCCAGAACTGGACACTCTTGCACCTCAGGACCTTTGCAGCAGCTATGCCTTCTGCCTAGAGAGTTCTGGCCTTAGATTTCCCCATGACTCACTTCCTTATCCCCTTTAGCTCTTCTCTGAAAACCTTCTCTGACTCCCCTCTTCAAAACGGCAAGCCCCAAACTTGACATTCCACACTCCTTTCCCGCTCTAGTCTTCCTCCACAGCCCTTCCTACCGCCAACACATTATCTTCCATTGCTTGTTTATTTTTACAAAATAACAGACCCTCCAAAGAGAACATAAGCTCCATGGGGGTAGGTACTTTAGTTTTGCTTGCCTGTATATCCTCTGTTGCTCAAAAAGGTTCTTGGCACGTGGGGCATACTCAGTAATCACATGTGTGTTGGGGGTTCCCAAGACCGCCCCGCGGTTTGCTGATTCACCAGGAGGACTGGCAGAACTCAGCAGACAGTGTCCGCCCAGCTAAGACTGAGCACAGCAGCCAAGGGATCCCTGGGACACTCAGCAGAGCAAAGCCCGGGGAACCCAGACCCAAGATTCCCAGCATCTCCACCCGTCCTTCAGACACACAGCTGAGCTTAATTCCCCCAGCGGTGGGATGTCACAGCACATGTGTTATGTTGTCTACCAGGAAATTTCACTGCAGACTCGGTGCCCAGGGTTTCAGTTGTGGTTTGGTCCCATACGCACCCTCTGCCTGGCAGGTTCTAAAGTTTCAGACTCCCCAAAGGAAAGCAGGTGTTCGGCATAAATCATGCTGTTTGCATAAGAAGTGTGGGCACAGAGTCATTCTTATCTGTTCCGGGAATGGGAGGGGACCCTCTCCGAATCCAAATTCCCAGATGTCATCCAAAGACCCACCTTGCAAGCAGGTCTTTCTAAAGGTAGCAGCCTCAGGCCTGCAGCAGAAAACCTTTTATGCACAGTATATTTTTTAAAAATTGTCGCTTTTTAATTGAAAAAAAAATGAAGCACCTCAGAGCTCAAGAGCAAGGTAAGATCTATTACAGAAAATAACGTTTCTTTCTTTGCACGTTGGATTCCTGCTGTATACATTTTGACCTTATTTACACACATTAACACAGTCTACAATTTTTTTTTTTAAAGAGAAGAGCATGGAAATGGGGAAGAAGGGCAAAGGGAGAGAGAAAGAATCTCAAGCAAGCTCCACACTCAGCGTGGAGCCCGACGTGGGGCTCGATCTCACGACCCTGGGATCAGGACCAGAGCTGAAATCAAGAGTCGGACGCTCAACTGACTGAGCCAACTAGGCACCCCACAGTCTGCACATTTTTCACATAGCCTGGCACAGAAAGAAAATACGGTTAGAGGCTCACATGTTGTGTGGATTCTATGCATTGCAGGGTCTGCTTCTGATGAAGCTAGTGTGTATGAGAGGGGGTCTGTGACAGCCTTTACGATGATTAATCCATTTATTTACTTACTTTGGTTTTTGGTTTTCCAGTACTGAACACCCCACAAAGTATCTAGTGTATACAAGAACGGCATGAATATATTGCATGTTGCCTACACGATACCACCATCAGTGCTAAAAATGGTTCCACATATAGGCATGTGAGTAAAATTCAACTCAACTTAAGAATAAATGTGACTTGTGGCGGGTACTGATCACAACCTTAAGGTTACTATTATAGCTGTGGTGAGAAACAGGGTTTTTTTTTCTTTATTGCATCTTATTTAGGTATGTTGGAATTGTAAATAAATAGTTGGCATGTACTGCTCTTTTTTGCTTAAGCTAAAAGAAGATGGGGGGACACACACATGTGCATGTGCACACCGCCCCAAACCGTCTGGAGTTGTGTAGAGTTGAGGGAAGTGGTTCCCTACATCTCCAAACCTGCACTGACTTACCACAGCCTCCTTCTTCTTTTTTTTTTTTAATGTTTTATTTATTTCTAGGAGAGAGAGAGAGAGAGAGAGAGCGTGAGCAGGGGAGGGTCAGAGAGAGAGGGAGTCACAGACTTTGAAACAGGCTTCAGGCTCTGAGCTGGCAGTCAGCACAGAGCCCGACGCGGGGCTCGAACCCACAAACCGCGAGATCATGACCTAAGCGAAAGTCGGACGCTTAACCGATTAAGCCACCCAGTCGCCCCACCACAGCCTTCTTAAATGTGAGACCTTCCTAATAATATGGAGACCGTGGGCAACCTTCTTGGTACAAAATCTCCTAGGAAACTCAGGCCAAATCATTTTAGAGCTTGTGAAACCAGTAGAAGCAAGGCCGGTTTACTGGGGTCAATGAAACAGGTGGAGATTTAAGAAGAGTGTTTAGTGTCTTGATTTCAATATGGTATCTTGTGGTTTTAGACCTTTGCCCATTGATGCTACTGTCATATAAATATTAGGTGCTTTGCCTGACATATTTTTAGAGCATAATTTAAGTAGAGCATGGTAATTTGCTCTAACTTCATTTTTTTTAATGTGTATTCATTTTTGAGAGACAGAGAGATACATAGTATGAGCAGGGAAGGGGCAGAGAGAGGGAGACACAGAATCTGAAGCAGGCTCCAGGCTCTGATCTGTCAGCACAGAGCCCGATGTGGGGCTTGAACCCACAAACTGTGAGATCATGACCTGAGCTAAAGTCAGATGCTCAACTGACTGAGCCACCCAGGC